GATGCAGGTCCAATATGTATATTCGCCGGACTCGCCTAGCCAGATGTCTGGCCGGGTAATCAACGACCCAAGCACGGGCACGTTTCCATGGTTTGGAGGCGGTAAGTGTATCAATTGCGGCCAGGTTTCCTGTTTGCTCACTCGACCACAGTTGTTGGATTCGCGTCCGATAGTGATGATTTTAGCTCCGATAAATCTAAGTAAGCCGGATTCCATAGTCCATACTTTTGACATTAATATGCCATATAGCTATGCCTATCTCGCTGGCACTCAACACACAGATCCTGGCTCTCCAGCTATGGTCGGAGATAGCTCGTTTGGTACCGCTACCGGCATCCCAGGTGACTACCAGAGTTCAATCTGGACTTATCACCCCGAGAGCAAGAGTATTACTGCCCAATGGATTAATACTGATGGAAGTGCGCCGCACACTGAAGCGTGTTACGCTAACGACGGCAACGGTACGTCTTTTTTCTTTTCTTTTCCTGCTTTCAGCAGACAATCGGAAAAATGCCCAACCTGAGATTCATCAACACAGATGCTCTCTTGCTGACAAGCAGCTGTGATACACTTAACAACGAATTTGGCACGAACTATCCAAGCGTGGTAGGTGTAATCATTTGTGGCTATTTATACTCACTAACCTGTGATTGTTGCCTAGTCTTTTACCTGCGTTCCCGTAGTTACACAGGAGCCTGCTCGTATCTAAACTAGATTTATTTGGCTCGTTTAGTGTTGATAGGACTTCGGCATCTGGGACAATTTTTGAGCTCGACGATCTATTTCCTCTTGGTTACGCTTTGTTCACTAGGAACGATGTGTTTTCTATTTCCATGCTTGGTTTCGTAGCATTAAATTCCTTTACTTGGGTCGAATTTTAGTAAGACGATAGTTGGTTGAGAGTAACATCGTGGAGTGATAATTCATCTACATGTTCGCATTTAGGCTTGAACCAGGGCTCGATCATGTGCATTAATGGTTACACCCGCCCCAATACCGTAGGGTGCGATAGAGGCGTGGTTCAACCGCAATGCCAGGCATCAATGAGCCAGGACATGTTCGTTTCGAGTGTCATTATATTGACGTTTTTTCGGACCCGTCCGTCCAACAGTTTCACCTGGCTCGCCCCTGATCGACGAGGGTTTCGAATAAGAAAGCACCAGGCCCTGCCCTGATTCGGCAGGGCTGGTGCCGAGATCACGCGCCATCATAGACTCTCTGTTTAGCGCGCGAGCACTCAGTGCTGCGCCCCTGCCGCTCTCGCCAAGCAGTTACTGTCGCCACGTCCATCCTACTGTCCCTCGACATCTGACGCGCTCTTGCGCTTGGCCATCACAGGTGGGTGAGCCGACAAGATTCTTGACCGTGTGTCTAGACTGCTCCATGCACTTGGTCCTCTGCTATCTCTCCGTTAATTATGACGTTTGAGGTTTTCGTTTGAAGGGAGTAATACAAGCATAGCATTGACAGTGAAGGTCCACAGGTATCCGCTCCTTGGTTCAACAAATCTTGGGGGTGAGGCTAGCTTGAATCGTTTGGAATGAAGAGTGAATGAAGCGCCCGAATAGGTTTAAGCTTTGCACTTGCCATGTCGAATTTACGGTAATAAACGCCCTGTTTCCTGTATTTTCGCTTATAGTGACAGGTTGTTTACAGACTAGTGCCAACTCTGTCATTTGTTCGTTTGGCTGTAGCCGTTGGTTTGTGCCCGTTGATGCACAACTTGTGCGCCGTCGGCTTTGAGGGAGTTTGGATGTACTCACTTATAGTTTGGTACTAGAGCCAGGCTACCCATTTCAGAAGGCGCGGTCCGAATCAGTCACTCCAAATTTGGGCTATCGCGATTCACGGATTGTCATCGACGGGCGCGCGCCAGCCACCTCGATTGTTGTGGCGACTGTGTATTCATTTTCTCCGCATAGAGGGACCTTTGACCGTGAATAACTCGACATACCGAGTGCATATGGCGATAGCACATGGAATCCGAAGACAGCACATGGTGGCTTGCTGATATGTTGAGTCCCATTGGAGGCTCTCGTATCTCACACGGATGAAATTTAATTTCAAATTTGACGATCACTTTGATCGACGACCACAAAGGTTGTTTGGCTCCGATTTTAACTTATTCCATCGTGATTTCATCGAGCGAACCTCTTCGTTATTCGCACAGCATTTGATTCAATCAAGTACCCCTACACAGAAGACGATTATGTTTACTGAAGCAGCCCATGGAGCGAGACAGATATAACACCCATGGCGATAGTGTCCATACCCCTATCTTGCTGACAAGTCGGAATCGACCATACCAATGTGACCTAGGCTCACCCCTATTTATGGGACCTCGGTTGGATTCAACCCCCTGTTGTCTCTTGCTTTCTTCCACAACTTGCCCATCGTTTATCCACACCCCAACAGTCGTTTCTACTACATCTCCATAGCCATGCGTTCCACACTCGCTTCTATCGCCGCTGCCGCAGCAGCTCTCGCTCTCGCTCGCCCTGGCTTTCAAGCCAACAAGGGCATCAACCCCGATAGGGGCAACATTCCCAACGTCAGGCATGAGAGCCTTCCTCCAGTCCCCCCAGCTCCTGTAGGTGTCGAGTCGGGCAACGTTAGGCGAGCTGGAATTCGTCTTCCGCCGCTCCCGTCGAGGATTGACCGTCGTCACCCCCCTGTCAAGTATGTCGCGCGTTTCTTGGCTATTGTTTAGTCTGCTCATCTGGAGCAAAACAGTCAAACATGCAATCTTTTGATACAGACTACTACGAACGAAACTTTGGGATACATCGCTAATACATACAATATCTTTGGAGAGTATGGTATACTCCTGCCCGACCAGACGGGAGCACTCGAGGTTGCATTCACGTACTCGCCAGACTCGCCTAAGCAGATTGATATATTAGCAACCAATAATCCGATGAATGAGTTCCCATTCGTGGGTGGTGGTAGGCTCTTTTTTCTTGCTAAAGTGTTTGTTTGTTCACAGGTATGTAGTGATTGGTTATTCGTCCACCGACGACAACTTTGGTCCCGGCAGCGCCAAGTAAGTTCATCATTCGTCTGCGATTCTGTGACTTGAATGTTGCACAGCTATGCCTATATCGCTGGCGTCCAACAACTAGCACCTGGCTCCCCGGCCGAGCTTCGTGATAGCTCGTTTGGTACTGCTACCGGTGTTCCGACTGACTCTGAGAGCGCAATCTGGGTGTATGACCCCAAGAGCCAAGCTCTTACTGTCCAATGGGTCAACAATGATAGAAGCACACCTCCTACCCAGTTTGTCTATGCTAATGACGGCAACGGTGTGTCTTCATCATGTCTGTATATGGTTTAAGCATAACTAACCGATGAGTGCTATTCAGAGGCTCTTATCATCACAGGAGACGCGGACGCGCTGCGTAACACTTTTGGAGTGACATACCCAGATGTCGTAAGTGTATTCGAAGGTCGTTGTTGTTTGGGTTTGCTGATGTTCGCTATCAGACGGTTACATGCGTTCCAGTACGCAACGTTGGAGCGCAGGCCGTTTGTCGAGCTTGATTGTTGTTTCTTGTTATTCTCGTAGTCGCGCATTTTCTTTGAATTTCATGGCTATGATTCCTTGGCATGCAATTGACGCTTTCTGAGGGACGAAGCGAGATATGAGAGATAAGAGTCCGATAGCACAGCCCCAATCTTGTACCTCGCTCCTGCGTTGATATCCCTTGCTCCAAGGACTGAATTAGCCACGCAACCTATATAGAATACATTAACAAACCAGACATTGTAAAACCAAAACTATTGTTTCTTCCTGACAATCCCTAGCGATGCCTGTAGTTTCGCCTTGGTCGGCTTCTCCTTTTCCTGAGAAGCAAGTGTTGGCGGGCGAGCAACAGCGCTTTTAATAGAGCTGGGGAGAATTCCGAGATTGAATCCGGGCGTGGTGGCCTTGATCACAGGTAAAGTAGGGCGGGGCACTCTAGGTACGGATTGAGCGCCAGTTGTTGATGCAGCGGGGACAATCGACGGGGGTGGTTTTGTTGGAAGGGAGGATGAGGAAGGTAAACTGGGATTCGGCTGTGGAATATTTGGGCCTGAAGCAGATCAGCATTAGTCAAAGGTTGGGGATACAGATACATACGGCCAAGTACTTCGGTTAGCAGTGCCTCGACTTCGGCGTCTTCTTGAGCCTCTCGTTCACGTTCCATCACGCCAAGTTTCGCCTCGAGAGCTGCAATCTTGGCAGATGTGCCCGATGGCTTATTTTGAGTCTTTAAGAGGGAGAGCGTGGTATGGCGAGGTGGGGGTGCAAATCGCCTATCATCCAGTCAGCAATGTTCGTGAGTGGTAATGGTTAACGTACCTGTGAGGACCGACACCAGACCCAGCAAAGACTGAATGTGCCTCTGGGTGGGCACTTTGACTCGCAAACGTTACGGTAAGCTTGCGTCGGCGGAGTGGCTTGTCATGGCACGCTACGAGGGCTTTGGTGGCTTCCTACGCCCAAGGAACAGGGCAAGATGATCAAGAAGTCGTCAGAAGGAGTAGCAAAGGCCAAGTAGAGGACGAACCTGCTTGGTAGCGTATTCAACAAACGCGTATCCTCGAGGTTTGCCTTTGAGGGGGCCCGATTTGTGGAAGAGAAAGTCGAGTTTGGTGACGTTTCCGAACTTGGAGAAGACTTGAAGTAGGGCATATCTATAAGTATTTATGAGCGTCTGTACTGGTGAGTTGTTCCAATTACTCACTCATCGACTGTATGATCCAGGTTACCGACATACAAACGGTTCCCGCGTTGGTCCTCTGAGCGGGGCGGAGTAGCCCTAGATGTAGAAGCCTGGGTAGGCTCTGGGTCAGAGGCGGGGATGGTGAGAACATCCGCAGTGGAAACTGGATTGGCAGCCATATGGTCAACAGGAGCTGGGTGTGGTGAAGGGAGCGCCGGAGGTTTGAGGAGGCCGGTGGCTGTACGCTAACGTCAGGTGACTGAATCATGGTTTAATTCCAAGCCCATAGAATAACCCTCGGTAGCTCAGTTGGAAGAGCGTGGGACTGTAATTGCTTACATAATCACAACCATCCCGAGGCCACTGGTTCGATCCCGGTCTGAGGGACTGCTTTTTGTGCAGTTACGAGTGCTTATTTTGCTCAAGAATGAGTGTGGGAGCAGTACAGACAAAGTTCCACACAGAAGTCAGCATTTCCGGCTTGTGGCGCTCATATCTCTGTAGCTACGTAGGCTAAAATTATGAGATAAATATCATTAGATAGCCACACATGGTAGCTACCAGATGAATGTAATTTTGTGATATTTGGACCTGAAACTGTAGAGATATGAGCCAGATCAAGTTGTGGGTACCCAGAGGGGGTTTGGCCCTGCAATCAGCCTTCCGGCCCCCACCCAGCGCTCTACGCCTACGTATGCTTAGTAGCTATTAGCATAGTAGCATAGCCCAGCTATGAAAGAGCTTTCGCATGCGAGAGTAGCAGCGTGTTAGCTCATCTGCTCTGGATGGGTGTCGCGGGGGAGGTATCTGGTGAATAGACCTACGGTAGCCGCCAGAGCGGATTGCAAGGGCAAGCCAATACCCATAGAGCAAACGTAGTAACAGTGTTAGAGGTCTGAGTAAGTTTACGAAACATATCAGCCTCGTTATGGCTGTTTCAGACAATGCCAGAGGTGCATGTAAGCAGGTTAAGATACGTATAATCAAAAACAGCTAGATACACCATAGAGGCGGCAGTAGCTGAAATGCAAGCAAGTAGTTGCACTGTATCCAGCTTAGTCTCTATACTAGTTAGTCGGCCACAGGCAATGATGGTTTGTAGCCTTCGCGAGGATGTTATTCAAGTACGACCTAAATTAGGTGACTAAGCTACTTTTATCGCGTGAGTCTATATCCTGGTTAGTCGAAGCGATCTCAAGACTTGTGTAGTGGCATATGTTTGGACTGAAAACAGGTAAAGTCGACTCTAGAGCCGCTACCTGTCCACATGAAACACTACTGAAGGATGGCCACAATCTCTTTATATAAATGACTTGACTATTACAGCTTTCTCATCCCGTCTCATGGTGAGGTCCACCGAAGGGACTGGTTGGCGGGCTCCTTGGATTAGGGCTATTGAACAGATTGAAACTCTTTCAAAACCGACTCGATTCTTCCTATGGAGGGGAGCAGTATATGGTTCGAGCTCATTCATGATGCAATATGAAGCTAATCCCGCTCAAGGGCCATACGTATCCTAAGCCCTTACCGGTCCCTAATTACCTGTTCTCTATCGGATTATGTAGAGTTGCAAGTGCTCTTTGTTACACTGGGCATCTGCTAAGTATGTGTAGATACCTCGTCAAGGCTCTTTTATCGACAAAATCTCAAACTTAAGATGAGCAGAACCACGAACTTTTGAAAACGAGCCCTCGACACTACTGCGATGTATCGCACGATACAGCGCCCGGTCGAAGACGTTTTGACCCAGTTACCAAAACAGATGCTGGTGCCAACGCTTGTGAGCCTATATCTCAAATCACATGCGCCTGCTCATCCAATGCTCACAGGATATTGTGCGAAGTTTCAGTTATATGATGCGAAGTTTGAGAGCTGGTTCCTAGCCTGGCACACTCACCAACTTAAACCACAAGCCTACAGGTGAGTTGCCTTACCTGTCATTATTGTTTCTCGCTAAGTTCGAGTAGGTCACAAACCCTAGACGTTATCGGTCGGTTACGATGAAGGTAGCGAACCGTTCGATGCTTACGACCAAACAGCACAACGCTCAGCTGGAAGTAAGTATTTTATATGCTTCTATTACGCCAAGCTTATTAGTTTATTCGGCAACGGTAGAGTGTCCTATGCAGTCTGTGGGTGCATACAACCCACCTGATTGCAAGGCCACAGGTACACTAACCAGGTTGGCCGGTAGTTTTCGCATCAAGAACCTCAATTGCTGTCGATGGGAGATCGCGAGGCGCCAAGCACTCGCCCTTCAGAACGTAGCACAGTTCTTGTGGCCGGATAGCCTTTGTCCGAGTCTCGTCGTACCAGGAGAGACCAAGAACATGTCAAATGAGAGAAACGAACGTGAACCGGCATAGCAAAGGGTAGCTCTACTGAGCAAAAGGTAATAAGTTGCGCTGGTAGATTCGCCTGTTGAAGTTTTGGAGCCCGACATGCTTCATGCTTCATGTTCATAATAGCTACCAACACCAGTGTCCCAGCGCTAAATGCTTAGTCCAGAATAAACAATGAAATTACACTGCGCGTTCCTAACGCGCTGCTAGGATATACAATCACATACCCAAGTCTACATTCAAGCGCTTACTTGGAAAAGTAGCGCACAAGTTTTGCCGAAATGTGGAGGAAGAAGATGGAGGCGATGAAGGAAAGAGACAGCATCATGACAACGAATGGGTCTCTGCGCGAAGATGTTAATATGCCACGTAAACTAACCACGAGGACGTGGTGAGATGAACACTCACACGCGGAGGCCAGCCGAATCGTCAGTGTACAACTTGAGCATGGTATTGCTCGATCCACCAGCACCCGCAGAGCGTGATGAGTTGGGTTTTTGAGCGGCCTGGTTAGTTGCTCGACGGCTGTAACATGGAATTTATTAGCGACTGTATCCAACACATATAGTTTTCTCAGCACTCGCCGGACTTGGCCAGCGCCAGGAGGTCGTGATACTGCAGAGCCTGATCCAGGTCGAGGAGGCTGGCCAGTTGGAGCACCGGTTGGCGAAGAGGGACGGCTGGAGTCAGACTGTGAATGGAACCCGACGTTAGCAACTCGATGTATAGTGGTATTCGAGGCATCATCACCATTTTAGAGAGGTGTTGTTAGGGAGAGAACGAGCGGAGAGGGTGGTGGTGGTAAGGTGTGAGTGGTAGAGAGCAAGTGAGGCGCGAATAATATAGACGAGGACGTGGCATAATTGAGGCACAGCCACCCATGGGAATATCTCACGTGCACTGCTACTCCAGATGAGCGTTCCAGACCGGAGAGCGAGCAGGCCACAGCTCACGTGTAGTTGAGTATATCAAAGCCATTCGAGGTGACTAAAGTGCGCATAAAGCGACTATTGCTATAGCTAAGTGAAGTGTTTGGATTCTTAGTAGCCCAGCGACTCGGGAAAACTACCAAACGTCAAAACTCAACGCTACAAGTCGCATCTTGACCAGTGAGGCTAACAGTACGCGGGAAGCACTCGGCAAGCATGATATAAGTGTAAGTAAACTGATAATCAACTCACTTTTGCGTTACCAACAGCACGGTGTAGGCAGTTCCAATATAGTAATAAGCTCGCAGAATTGACACTACTGCAATGCGCAAACTTGAACGCATACACTGTTCTGAAATACTTCCAGAAGGTCTATGTGGTAATATGCTCCTTAATTGCATACCTATTACAGCCACGTAATTATACTTAGCATAATACTCTAACTGTTTGTGTCGACTGCTTCAGGATTCTTGGCGTTTGGCTCTAGCATGCGCACAGCTTATTCGAGATTCTACGTATCATTCAAACCGTCTCCTCAGTGCACTACCTCTGTACTACCTCCGCGTCTTTCCGCTCTACTTACCCCAGTATATATTTGCTTAAGGTTTCAGGTGTCGGGTTGGTACCGAGCTCTCCGGGCAATGCAGGAGATGGGCTAAGACGCAATACCTGACTAACTCGTTATGCATCTACTAGCTTACACGCTACTGACTAGTATGCAGGTCCAATGGGCTGCTCAGAGCATGAATTTATTGAGTTGTGGAGCCGGACGGCGTTGGTGTGTGGGAAAAGCTCGGCGCTTAGTATCTGATAGAATAAAAGCTCCCCCCGCCTTTCGACTCTCGCGTGAGCGCCAAACTCGGGGCCAAACTGACAATATGCGACCTGAGAGGGACTAACATCTGTGTCTCCTGCGGCTAGAATTGGTTGCTCCCGCTGTTGTGGGTCAGATTGTTGAAGCCATTGCATACACCCAAGGGCATGTAGTGTAGGGGTTATCGCGCCTCATTCGCAACTTCAGGAATTGAACCATGAAGTCACGTGTTGAGGAGGTCTCCGGTTCAATTCCGGACTTGTCCACTGCTTTTTCGATATCTAAAATCATCATAGAACCTCACTGAGTTGAGAGAACCGTTTATTCCATTTTTTCATTTTTTTTTTTCGCAAGGATGGGCATATGAGTCGGTCTAATTAAGCCTGTATGCAATATGAAGGCGCGCGGGTTACGGCCGCACAAACCAGCTCCAAACGTCTAAGTGATTGCAAATAGTCGATTGCATTCATAACTTTGTGTTTTTGCGGTCAACTCGCCCCAAGTAGGCTCCCCTGACTTAAGCGCCCGTAGGCCTAAGGCTACAGACGCGCGTCAACCCTGAGGGATTAGCACCCCGGTACTACGCTAAGCATCCAGCAGAGCCGACTTTGTGTGTGTGAATCATATTACTATGCCTCTAAATAATCAAACCTTGGGGGCTAGTACGTCTCGACCAGCGCTAAGGCATAAAGTTATCAATCGCCTAGTGGATTCTGCTGTTATAGCACAGGTCGTGAGCTAAGCACACCCTCAACACATCTTGTCTACAGTGGTCTAGATAATGTAATAGCAAACACTTGCTCTGGACTTGGCAAAGGTATATCTAAAGACCATAGTCTAGGTCGAGGATTGCGCGTCGTTCTAAAGGCTACTGCGAGCGCTCGAGCCGAAGACGATGATACAGCTACTATGACACTAGACATCCGTAGAAATACTACTCAACATGTAGTAGAAAATCCAACGTATTGTGTATCTAGTATAGAGGCACACACATCCGCAACACTATCTGCCTCGGGTTGGCTAATTCAAAACAACAGGTGTTACTTGCACCTAAGTAGTTCGGGCCCTCGTTTCCTGCACTCATAGTACAGTTGCCTAACTTCTCAAAGAGCTTACGGCTACCTCCTGAACTGAACGACTCGATCACACTCATAGAATTCAGCAATACAAGTATTCAATCATCCCTTACGCAATACTACAAAGCACTGGAAAAGCAACATAACACCTTCACACAAAGACATTCTAATACTCCCGCTTAAAGCCAAATGTGGCGTGATACTTGACTGAAACCTGGACTCCGGG